AGCCGATATGACCGGGAAAATGGTCGAATTGATCTCCGCATGGGAACTTTTCAGCTTCGAACTGGTCTGGAACCTTCCACGACCTCCAGAAATGGACGCAGACGCGTAGAGGGCTTTCACCGGACCACCTGACCCCGCTCGATCAGTCCTGACAAACCACCCGTCCTTACATGATCTTCCTCAACGGAATGCGCATTGGATTAATAACAAGGCAAATACGACAGATGTTGAAAAGTTGTCCCTTTCGGCGGGAAAAGTTCACGTACAACTTTGTTTTATAAAACAACTTTCAAGATATTTATAGAATGTAATGAAGGCTAAAACCGACTGTCAACCCAAAGACTTACAAATTGATAAGACTAAATAAAAATTTTGGTTAATTTCTAATAAATAAATACTGATTGTAAGTGCACTCAAGTTGTATTTATAAAATTACTAATATTTAAGAGTATTTTTAATTATTAAAAATTTTTTGATGTAGAATAAGTCCGCGAAAGCCACTTTTGTCTTTGCAGTGACAGAAAGTTTCCCCAATAAATTACTCTCAAGTTATTTATTAATAAACATTCTTGGTCTACGAGTAAGCAGGTAGGATGAAAAATGTAGTTTTGTTCTATTTCTGGCCTGAACAGAACACATACAAAAATTAATAAAAATAAATAAAAAATAAACGAGACACTAGTTCAAAAGGTTCTCTCTTTCATGATAATTCTGGTAGTGAAGAGATTTGAGACAAACATCGTTTAATAGTCTTATCCAAGGTGCCATTGACCCTGTGCCCTTGTTCGCCGTCTTTTTTTATTTTTTTTTTAATTTTTTTTTTTTATAAATAAAATTGAACTAATTTTACCTTATTGGAATTAAAACAAAGATTATCGTCTTTTTTGAGTTTCTGCTAAGAAAAAATGGCACTAAGATAAAAAGATAACTTTCAACAATAAATTTTGTTTTTAAATTCTTAAGTAGCTAGAACTTAAATGAAACTTAGCTCTCCAGGCCAAACATTAAACATAAAACATAGCATTATAAGTAAAATACTATATTAAAAGATTTCAAGTACTAGTATTACTACGAGAGAACTAAAAAAATTAGTACTATAAATTACTAGCATTCACCGTTTTCAAAAAATAAACAACTTAGAAAAAAAATCAAAATATTCTTTAAATCGTATTCTTTAACAAAAGTTATAATTAAAAAATGTTCATTTTCCTAGATTAATCAATTAATTAATCATGTAAACTGGAGTAAAAATATTTCCCTGTTAGGTAAAAACACATCTAAATATATTTTAAGGCTTAAATAAATAACAATTAGAAAATGCTTATTTTCATAAATACATTAACAATAATGCAATATTTTTACATCTGAATGTTTCTTTTGAAATTAAAACTGTAAATTCACTTAATCGTCTTATTAAAAAAGTACAATTTATAGAAAATAATCTGTATGATTATTTGTAGTATTTAAAAAATAAATTAAGTAAAATAATTTTAATTTATAGAAACAAGGTAAGCATCATTAACATTGACCCTGCATCTTTGCTTAATTATGTGTGTATGTTGTAATGTTTTTCCTATGTTTTTACATCTCCTGTTAGGTTTTTGTTGATTAAAGTTTTTAAAATGACAAATATATTATTAATTATCTAATTTATGGTTGAATTCAACCAATTGATCCTATTGTCCTCACTTTTTTTCTCCTCTCTATTGTTAAAAATCGTAACTTACGGTCCTATTTCAAAATAACAGGCGAAAACAGAATTATCAGAGTAAATTATCACAAAAACTCTAACTGACTTAAAATTAACTTTGACGTAAACGGGGTCCTATTTGGCTGTTTATTCAACTCATTGATATCGCGACAAAAAAATATCTCTTCTATGTATCCTTAGAGTACGATTTATTTCAATGTTTATTGGAACGGGTTGTCAATATAACATATATAATAATTTAATATGAAATTTTAAAAAAATCCTGTAGGATAAAAACTCGCAATGCACTATTGTCAAAACTTGGGAAATAATTTTAATTATAATTTTTTAATATAATTTTTTTTTTAAATTACCACATAAAACAAGTATTAAATTTTAATAAATTCATAAAGCAAATTGTAAAATTCAGTTAATAAATTGGCAAAAAGGAAGGGGATAAATGATGGTCATTCACGTCCTATTGGTGCCAAATTGGCGCCTTGGCAATGAACTCTGGCTCTCTGCATTGATTTTCGCCAACCCACCAACCTTGAATTACTGCCCTAGGATAACCACGATACTCTACCTTTGACCTGATTAACACATTTAATTAATTTACAATATTGTCAGAATCGATTCATTGGATTATTGCAAAAATAGCGAGAAGTACGAACCGCCACTATCAGGAACAAATCAACTGTCAGATTTCAATGAACATTGGCAAATAGGTTCGTTCTGATGAGTACAATTAAACGCATTTTATTTAATATACAAAGTACATACTAGTCAATACGTTTCTTTTTTTTAATGACCTATTGCTTGGCTTAGGTATTTGGTAGAGCGAATTTTTACTAGTTATTATTTTTTTTTTACGAGGGTTTGCAACAGCAGAGGTCATATAAACCCTCAGGTGCCGGTGTTTTTGAAAAAAAGCACATTTGTAAATATGTCGGGTTCGAATGCATGGCCGCTGGATTCGAACCCGGGACCTTTACCTTACAGTGATGAGCGCCGTGTCAACGCCTAAACCGTTGCGGCCACCGAACCCCAATTTTTCCTAGTGAAATTACATTGATCTGTTTTAACTTGGAGGAAGAGCTTTCTTTATATTCCCGCCCGAGAATGCAGCAGTCGAAAACACGCAGAAGTCGTTTTACTTCCCAGGAATATGTGACAGTCAAAACGAAGGTTATAGTGAAGTGCAGTACTCAAAAACCTCGTGTAAATGAAACAAACGGGGGTACTAAGGTAGGTGGGGAGGTCGTTAGCATATAGTAAAAGCAATAGTGGGGTTAGTACGCTCCCTTGAGGCACTCCATATAATTCTTTATGGGGACTCGAGCCATTGCCAACATTAACATCCTCCGTTAACGTGACTGTCTTCCCTGGAGATATGAGCTAAACCACTCCAACTTACTGATCTTACTGATAATAATGTGACGAACCCGGTCAAAATAATGAAGAAATTCGAAATTTACCTCGGGAAAAAATAAATCTCACGAATCGATTGGGTTTATTAGTATAAAAAAATAATTCATGTCATACAGGAGAGCTTAACGTCTAACTAACTTTTTAGGTCTAAAATATTTTCGAAAATCCTAAGCTTCCGGTGTTTGGAAACTTCAACGAAGCTCTCTTAAAAAATATTTCACCCTGTTCAATTAATAGTGTTAAACAATTAAAAACATATTTACACGCTTTTATGTATAAAAACGTATTGATAAACAAAATGTAAAAACGAATTTTTGTCCAGGGAAACGTTGAAACGTGAAATTTCATGTAAAATAAAAGTAGTGTCTAAAGTTCCATGATTATAACTTCTGTCTTGAGTTTATTATATTATAAGTAATCTACCTAGCCATAACTGATTATAAATTGTTGACTGTTAAACCAATAAAGATCAACTCAAGTGTGACGATTTTTTTAATATTTAAATAAACATGATAACTTTATTATTTATGAAAATATGCGAGTTGAACTTTCGTATTTGAGTTATTATTTATCTTACGATGCCAACCCAATGTTTGCCCTTATAAACATATAAATACAGGGTGATGCATTTTCCATTTTTTCAATTTGTCGACGCACCATAAAACGTTAAAAACGAAAAAATTTAAATTCAATTCAGTATGAAGGAGTTAATAAATGATTTTCTCATACAAAAATTCTACATTTTAATGAATAAACCTACAAAACACACTGATGAGAAATGAAAATCTATTAGGTACATTCCTAAAATAAAAAACCTGTTCTTTGAGTAAAATGCTATTATTAAAAATAAATTTGAATTGACGAGAACGGCCAAAAAGGGTAAAGGTAGAGGTGGAAAAAGGGTCAAAAGGCACAAAGACAAGGGCAGTGCGTAAGCAAATGCTATAGAAGTAGGACTTGCGTATCTGTAACATTTAATTTTTGAGCATGTCTTAAGTAGTAAGTACATTTATATAATTGTTTAAATTGTTGTGTTTTGTTATCTACACTAACTAACTTTCCGTGACATATCCGTTTAACGTACGTGCAGTTTGAATAACTGCTAAAACCCGAGTAGCAGAACTGCGTCTCAACTTTCGCCTAGCCAGGTTATGGTTCTTATGATTCTGCTTTGGGCCGTTTGTACCTTCAGCAGGTGCTTTTGAGGACCATTAGCAATAGCAGGTGCTTTTGAGGACCATTAGCAATAGGTATATTGTCAAATGAGCGAATGAGTGATAAATTCAGGAGCCTTTTAGTCGCAAGTGGGCTGATATGAAAGGAGGTGTTTGACGCAAAGGAACCCAAGTTGGCTTTTCATCCACTCGGGAGTACGTAACAGGATTTGCCCTGCAAGATTGTTTATTTAAATATATTAATAACAATCCACATTTAACATCAGGGAGAATACATTTCAAAAAAATAAAAAAGTGTCAAGAAAAATCCCAAACCAGTTTAAGTTCGATTGACTAATTAGCGAGGCACAACCGGCTGTTCTCCGAAATTGCGAAGCGGGAATACCAAAACGGCGTCAAATTTGGCAAAATTTCCGATTTTTACAGAATGACTCATAGACTGCTTGAGATTGCATAAAATAGAAAAAATGAAAAAATTTCCACGTATGTTAATATTGTAATTGTCAATAATAATTGGTCGCTCAGCGAGGGAAAGAAGAAATGTTGAACCGATCGAGTTTGATCAAGTCCCACTTAAAAGCATATCGCCTTCCCTCCACCTTGAAACGTGCGAGATCATACGGACCTAAATAAATTTTTTAACATAGGATTTTTGATGAACGTCCATCAGTATAAAAAACTGAACAGTAGATGGCTACTTTTCATTAAAAGATATTCGATTGAGTACATACATTTTTTTAAATTCTTTTAAGTTCTCTGGAGTAACAACTGGTATACCCCAAGGGACTTCAGAGTGCCGGCCTGAATGTTCCGCGAGTTCTCCCCGTTGCGCGAAGCCGATTTTTTTGGAATAGGTAGTACTGGTCTATATAAGCACAGGCAGGCTGCTTCGAGCTTGTATTTACAGCCCCGCGTTAAGTGTGCACGTGTGCCAAGGGAGAGTGACAGCGGATTGTTCAAGTTTTCGTTTTTTTTTATTTTATTTTTTTATTAAATAATTATTACACGCCCGTCAACAATGACCAAACTAATCTACTCATGCGTAGGGGTAAGTACGCAATCTTATCTTTAAAATATTTTCAAACCACTTGTCTCACGCTAATGAATTATGCAAATTATTTAAAATAAATTTTATTTTTCCTATTTAATTTCAAATCTACGGCATAATTTAAAACGAATGTAAGTATGACTTAAATTTGATATAAATCAGGCTTGTGCGGCAGTGAAATAAATCAACTTTTCGACAAATTGGGGCTTTACTTTCAAGCACAACGAAATTCAGTAATTAAAAAAAATCTTAAGATAATTATTTTTATTTTTTTCTTGAGTATGTATCTGACGATGTCAAGTTTCTTAATCTTCACCAAACCCCACTTGATCTACAACAATGTGATTTGTTCCTATTGGTAATAAATAGTCAAAACATCACACATTTTTGAATAGATTTTCACAAATTTTTGTTTTGTTTATCATATTTTGACGCTCAGGTAGGCTGACCAAGATAAATTATATTTACGAAATAACTTCGCCAGTTCGAAACATTTTTCAACGCGGGTCGTCAAAACGGATCGAGAGAAAGGCGGCAACACATTGATAAAGAGGGATTGAAGGAGTGGTTACACGGAAACTCTCAGAAGGTCACACAGTACAGAACAAGTTACAAAAAAAATTAACAAATTATTTCTTTTCCCTTTCACCCGAAGGCGCACCTCGGGCTTTTTATATAATAAGAAATTCGTAAATAACGGGAGTTGTTTAATTCCGTAAAATTAGGTTGCAGAGAGGACAATGGAATAGACACAATGATCATTTACAGCAGGCCCACAGGAATAAACAATTATTTAAAAAAAAAAAAAAAAAAAAAAAAAAAAAAAAAAAAAAAAACAACTTAAATGCTTGTTTATACGACTGAAGTAATATAGTGATTTTTACACACGCTTATTTTTAACTCAGGTAAAATGGTTTTACGTTCACAGTAGAAAAGATAAAGAAGCGGTTTTTCAGGTCTAACTTTATTTTCTAACACAAGACAATCCAAATCTAGAACGTGAAAATTCTTCGCTTATTATATAAGTAAAAGTTAATTTTTCTGAAATTTGGTCGTTAGTGATCATTCTGGTCTATCCTTGCTGGGTTTGTCAGACGCGTTTCGGCATCTCGTCATCTTCAGTCTGCCCAGGTTAATCTGATCTGACAACGTCTAACACTAAAACAACCAGGCTAGGCAGAACAAAATTATCGATTCCCAAATTTTACGTCAATCACACAAAACTCATAATTAATATTTTTCTGCAAAAATAGTTAAATATATAAATATTTATTTATAAATAATATCTAACAATTGATTATGATTGCTAAAATGTATAAAAACAACAAAGAAGACATTTTATGATGAATTTCATAAGAGCTGAAAGGATGTTAAACCAACAACACCGGTCTGTGTTGCGGGTGTAGTATTTTATATATCTTTAGGCAATTTAAGAAAAAAACCAACCAACGTGCATATACAAATGTATGTTTCTCAACCCCTACGGGCTTATCTTTAATTTCTAATCAATCTTTAATAAAAGATTAATTTAATCGTTAATACAGCTGGTTATTATTCACGTAAGTAAAAGAGATATTAGCCGAGAATATGTAGAGATAAAAGTTCGGACGATGTTGATAATAGAACAAACGGAAATTGGGGGAAAAAAAATCAGAAGGTCAAGAAGAAAAGAGAAACCCTTTTAGTTATTTCGGCAGGCTAAATGCGAAGATCGTAAATCGTCATTTAATATTTATTGATTTTAAAGAAAGTGGACTTATAATTTTTTTGAGCATTTTATGTTATATTTTATCTTAGACCGCGAAAATAAATATTCCCTCCTAACCATCCCTCGATGTTTTAATGTAACAACCAGAGAAAAATTGAGTTTTGCAATTTTTATGATATCCCAGATAAAAAAAAGGGTTTAAATAGGTTTTTAAATCCAAACACTACGCAAAACCTGGAGAACCTCGGATGTTTTCAATTTTTACATTAGGGAAAGACCGAAATTTCCGATAGTGCCGACATTCTAACGAATTGCTAAAAAATTCCATCGCGTCCGACAAACGTTTTTCTCGACCATAGGCCTATCTTGATAGGATGGAGGTCACTATAAAACCGTGATTAGGCAATGGCACAGAAGCGGATTTATTCAAAGGAGTGGTATACCGGATCTGTATGGTCTAACTGAAATCAAAACACCTTAGGTAAACAAATTTTATTCAGTGAGTCATACAAAAAGAAAAAATTTATTTAAAAGAAGAAAAAAAATACAGATACGATACTGATTGGATAAGAACGGAAAAGGGGGCAAAAACCGTGTATGACCTTATGGCGCATCGTAAATTTCGAACTTTTGTACCAAACTGTCAAACGAGATTAAGAGAAACAGATTATCTACGTGTGGAACAATTAAAGATAAACGAAACAGATTAACACACTGGAAATTTTCATGGCTCAATCTTCAGTATTCATAAGTTAACGTACTCTATGAAAATTTTAAATTAATTACACTCTTAACCCAAAGCTTTGACATTTTAGGCCAGTTTTTTCAAATGTTATCTGAAAAAGCGAGAATAAAGTAAGCCTAATGAATATTAATTTTGCCTATTTTATGTTAATAGTTATTAACATAAATTAAATTATTGGATTGAGTTAAGGTGTGTTTAATAGGGTCGTAAAAACGTCTGACTGGTAATTTATCTATATTAGTTATAAGATTAAAAGCCTATATTGATGGAGGGGTGGGTTATCGGAGGTCATTTGAAATCTTCTTATTCATATTTGTAGGCTTATAGTCAGTTCCTATTTCGTACCGCAGATGTAACAGAACTCGCGACTCAAAGGTAGCGTCTAGAAATTTTTTTTCGTCTTAAAATCAATTTTTCATTTATATTGTTCTGAAAGATATCATTGACTAAAAGAAATCAATTGATATAGACCGAAGAGGAGAGGAGACTGGTCCCAGGGAGGTACACGCCGAGTCCTATTCACTCAGCGACGTCGTCTTCCGTATCGGTTTCAAGCACGAGCGCTCTCATCCCCGACACGACTTCCAGGCCCGACTCGGACAAGAATTACTATCAACCCGAGAAAGAAAAAATGACGCAGAAAGAGAAGAATATAATTCTTCACCCGCTGGAGGGTTTGAACGATGAGAAGAAATTGGAAGAAGTGCAAAACAGAAAGCCAAGCTGCGCCGCACTCGGGCGACAAGTAAGTCGATTTTTTCACCCCTTTTGGATATTTTTATTAATTTTTGTCTTGTTTAGGGCTTGGCTGCTGTTACCGTGTCAATTTGTTCCGCTGTTGTGGGATTTTCATCGGCTTACTCATCACCTGCACTGGCATCTATGAATCAACCTGAAAGCAGACTTCACATCACGCTTCAAGAAGCTTCTTGGATCGGAAGCCTGATGCCTCTTTGCGCTCTTCTCGGCGGAGTACTAGGTGGGCCTTTGATCGAATCTTTTGGCCGGAAAATGACAATTTTTGCGACAACTCTTCCTTTTACTCTATGTAAGGAAGTAAAATACATAAATAAAATATAATATCATTAACGAATCGATCTTTTAGCATTTCTGTTGATCTCATACGCTGTGAACATTCCAATGATTATGGTCGGACGTGCCATCACTGGTTTCTGCGTGGGTGTATCCTCTTTGGCGCTGCCGGTTTATTTGGGTGAAACCTTGCAACCTGAAGTGAGGGGCATGTTCGGACTTTTTCCCACGACGATAGGAAACTTCGGAATATTGCTCGCGTTCTTCTTGGGAAAATACCTCGACTGGTCGGAACTGGCACTATTCGGAGCTCTACTCCCGGTGCCCTACTTCATTATGCTATTTTTCATACCGGAAACTCCAAGCTGGTACATCAGCAAAGGTATGTTTTAGCTTTTTGATCTGAGCTGAAGGTTTTGTTGAACTTAAAGTACAAATTTTCAAATGCCACATATTTCATTCGCCTGTCCTTGGTCCTTCTTCAAAGCTACAAAAGTGCAATGCATACCAAATGAAATACGTCAACTAAAAAATTGGTTTTTAGTTCAATAAAACCAACAACCTAGATTTACAAACTTTTGCCACTAAACTAATAAACCTTTGCGCACTTTTAGAAAAAGAAACTCGAGCCAAGATGGCTTTACAATGGTTTCGAGGAAGTGCAACCGATATAACAAAAGAATACGCCGAATTAATAAAAATCCGCAAAATGGACAACGAAACTGTTTCCTTCAAAGAGCTCTTCAGTAGAAAATATATCTGGCCTTTATGTATCTCCATCGGGCTTATGTTTTTCCAGCAGCTTAGCGGAATAAACGCAGTCATCTTCTACACCGTCAATATCTTCAGGGTAAAAAAAATTAATTTCATATTAAAAAAAAAACTAAAATTTAATCTAATTGACTTTTTTAGGATGCTGGAAGCACGATAGACTCGAACATTTGTGCGATTATAGTTGGATGTGTTAATCTGGGCTCGACTTTGGTCGCAACAGCCCTGATCGACCGAGTCGGAAGAAAAGTGCTTATGTACATTTCCAATACTGTCATGGCTTTAACGCTTTTCACCCTGGGAACTTTCTTTTATTTGAAAGATCGTGGTACGGATTTGACCGAATTCGGTTGGATACCTTTGGTCAGTTTCGTCCTGTTTGTCATCGGCTTTTCCATCGGCGCCGGCCCGATCCCTTGGTTGATGATGGGAGAAATCCTACCTTGTATGTATTCATTATTCAATTTGTTGTAATGTAACTAACAATTTTTTTGTTATAGCGAGAGTAAGAGGCATTGCTGCTTCTTTAGTGACAGGATTCAACTGGAGCTGTACCTTCATCGTCACGAAGACTTTTATCGATTTGACCGAAGCGATCGGTTCTGACAGCGCTTTCTGGCTCTTCGGCATCATCTGCGTCGTTGGCTTATTCTTCGTGATTTTCTTCGTACCCGAAACAAGAGGAAAAACTCTAGAAGATATTGAAAAAGAATTCAGACCTAAAGATTTAAGGAGTGAAGATTCCCAAGAGCAGACAATTTCCGTCTAGAAATTCAGTAAAACACATATGGATTAAGAAAAGAAATCGATACATTCCTAACGTTAGTACCACCAAACAAGAAAAAACACGTTTACGTGTAATAAAATGTGATATGATTAATAGTCTGAAGAATTACAAATATTAGATGTGCCTTTCCGGACAAAATTTGTTTAATTTTAACTAAATTTGATGTAACCTTAGAGAAAGAAAATTTGTCAGAAATCCAACGTAAATTTATCCATTAAACCTAATCAGAAAGAAATCACTGACGTCAAATATCTCAGTTGTTTTACGATTCCGCACAATTTAAATGCCAAAGATGAAAATTAACAATTTTAATATTTAATTAATTATAATTTATTAAGTCATTCCTTTTAGAAAATAATATTTATTTGGATACAAGTTCAAATACTTGCATTTACATTAGATTTAATAAGATATGATAAATAGTATCATTAAAAAAATAACCAATGTTTTTATATTTCTAAAATAAAATACCATTAGATCTAGCATAATTTGTATTTTAAGCAAAAAGTGATACTAGATGAGAAAAGCAATGATGCTAAGGCTTTTCCTTTTGATATTTTAGAAAAGAGCAAAAAAAATTGTACAAAGTCATTCCTTAGAAATAATAAAGGTGGGCTGAGTAATTCAATTCACCTTTTGTTTTTCAACTTTATATACTTTACAAAAAGTGAATCATTCCTTTGGATTTATACTATTTATTTATAAAAAGAAAATAGTTTAAACACATATGTATATATTGCATAAGTATAGAAGATTTAGAATTTTGTTTTTATTCGATGGAAAAAATGTTTTTTTTTTTAATTATGACCCAACTTTTCATGTTTTAAGAGTATGATACTTTGCAATATTTCAAGTATATATTTTTATATGACAAATATAATTTTATATTGTCCTAAAGCATTGTGGTTTATTCATTCCTTAATTTTATCATCATTAGTTAAATCCTAATTTAACAAAGTTCAACGGGAAGTTCAGATAAGTGCTTTTGTGCAAATAATGATAACAAACCTGAAAAACATGCTAATATGTAACGATGTATTTAACAATTATAAAAAGCCAAGAAAATAAAGTCTAGAATGAAAATCATCATTTTTATATTATAATAAAAATTATGATCATAGATTAATTGATCAATCTTGTAAAAAACAATATATTAATTTTTTTTTGTTCCTATTGTTGTTACACACAAAACTAAGGCAAATATTTTTGTCCCTTTGGTATGATTTTTCAACAATAGCTGATTTGTCAATAATATGGGCTTAGATAGATTTTTGTGGGTGCTCCTATGACTATACACAGTGGTTGTTAGACCTATAGATAGCCTATGGATTGGTTTGGTGGATGAAGAGATTATAGTTAATAGCAGTCAGGATCATCAGTACTTTGAGGCTAGCATGCCTGTACAGTACAGGAAGAATAAAAACGACAGTCACTGCTGCCAGGGAAATCTTGAATCTACCACTACTGCATATCTGCATTCAACTAATTCAGGGCCAGGCTCCATGAGCCCACAAGAGCAATTAAAGCTTCAGGAGGACAAGAGAATGAAGGAATTATTAGATATTAAATAAGAATAGCTCTAGTTTTCTGTGGAATAAAAAAGCTAAAGTATCGAAAGATAATGGAGGCTTGAGTAGACCTTTTTAATAACAGAACATGGTCATGCCATGTAAGCTTGTTAAAAATAACGCTGAGCTTTTTAACTTTAGGACAAAAATTAATACGAAAGCCATTGAAATGAGAAAGAGATAGGCAACTGTACGAATTTCTTTTTTTTTATTAATAAGGAATGTAATTTGTTATGATTTAAAATAATGCCATTATTACTTAGTAGAGTACAAAGATAGCTTTTCAGCAGCAGATATGTTGCTTGTAGGATACTGAATGTTGGGATAGTGTTAGGGGTAAAAGAGATGGCCACAAGGCCTTCTGTACCTCGACCAGAGTTTCAGGTTGTCAATCAGCCTCCATAGATTAGCCAGTGGCTCCTTAGTGTAGGATCTTGCCTGCCGTTTTTCTTGTCCTAATTGCATGAACATGCACCTACATAGACCTTCACAGAATCATATAATTTGTTCTGTTGCAGTTGCCTTCCAGTAATTCTTTTGTGGTGCTACAGATGACCCTTCTATAATTCTCTTCACATACATCAAACCTGGGGTGTTGTTCCGCCAAGTTTTGGAGTTATTAAGTATTCATTTTTTGGTGAATCCTTTTTTGTGGCAAGGTCCTAGGCCTAGAGAATTCATATTGGCTCCTTTTTTGGCCCAACATGCCTGCACCTGGTGTCAGTGACTTCTGACAGGGTTTCCATGCTTTTTGCTTTACCTCTCATGACGCTAAGGCCTTAAGTGCTGTCTGACTGACGGAAAACATCCTGACATATGTTCTTAGCCTTCTTAGATCTGCAGCAACAGCCCGCCACCAGCAACTCAGGAGAATGGTGCAACGAGCACTTAGAAGAGAACACCAATTGGAATGCACATTTTCTGATGAGTCACGTTTCTGTCTGTAAAGTGATACCAAAGAGTCTACCAAAAACAGGGATGCATACAATGCCAATACAAGTTTGTGCTCCCTTCAGTGCAGTTTGGAGGACACAGTGTAATGATCTGGGCTGGGATTTATGCTGGAGGACGAGCTGGACTCCATATTGTTTCAAAGCAACCTCACCGCAGTCCGTAATTATCGAGGAATTTATCCTTCAAACCAGGGGTCTCATTGGCAGGGATTTTCCATTTCTGGATGACCTCATAGAGGCAGTTCATCAATGTTTAGAAAACCTCGGAATTCCCATCTGCCTCTTCCCCCATTGTCTCTAGATCTCAATCTCATTGAGCACACATGGGATGCGCTGCAGAAAAGGCTGTTTGATCACCATCCACAGCCAGTTGACCAGCAACAACTCGGTGCAGCATTGGCAACATCCATAGAGTGAAATTCCTTATTAAATTAGTGACAACCTTATTAACAGTATGCCTAATAGGTGCACAGAGGTTTTAGCTAACAGAGAATATTATACAGGATAATAATTGTTGTAAAAAAATATTGTGTCCAATAAACAAAATTATGGAATTAAAACCTTTTATTTTATTTTTCAAAATCCCTTAATTAAATTTCCCTTCAGTAAAAAACAATAATTTATAATAAATTTAATGACATTTTTAATAAAAATAAAACAAAATTGCTAGGGAAAGTAAATACTACAAAATTGGCAATATCCCTAGTCATTTTTGAAGTTTAGATGAAATTAAGAACTAATGGAAGATCATTTGGGATCGTGGAAAACAGAACAGGTCCCAGAATAAAACCTTGGAGTACACCAGGTGAAGAGATAGATAGATAGATAGATAGATAGATAGATAGAGAGAGAGAGAGAGAGAGAGAGAGTGAATGAGAGAGAGTGGGAATGAGAGAGAGTGGGAGAGAGAGAGAGAGTGGGAGAGAGAGAGAGAGAGTGGGAGAGAGAGAGTGGGAGAGAGAGAGTGGGAGAGAGAGAGTGGGAGAGAGAGAGAGCGGGAGAGAGAGAGNGAGAGAGAGAGAGAGAGAGAGAGAGAGAGAGAGAGAGAGAGAATTTGCAGCTTTTACTATCTGAATTCTGTCAGATAGATAGAAGATTAGAGTAGTAGCAGTAAAAAAAAATCAAAAAGATGGTCAGTATTCAAATAAATTCTGATTTAGGGAGCCGAATGCTTTGGAAAAATCAAGTAGAACAATAACAGCACACTTATTATCATGACTTATTATGATGAGCTGTTCTTTTTAAATTAATGTTAAGTTAATTAAATTTTGTATAATGGTTAAAACTAAAAGTAGTTGTTCATTTTTTTCGAAATTTAAATTAAGTTTTGTCATTTGTCAAGCATGCAGGAGTCAAATTCAAATTCAGCCTCACTCACCCATCACTTGGACTCTGCAGATGGCACAGGTGTCACACTCGACATCCCAACTCCACATGGCGACGGCATTCCATTTTTTGAGTGTAAACATCTTCGAGTTTTCGCTTTCGTTCCTTTCCATCGGCGAGTGAAAACTCGTTGTCCTCAGCAGATAGCACACGGAGACAATTGAGTTTATAACCTTCCACGAACTTAAGAGAACCTCAACCTCTTTACAACTAGCGCTGTGGGCTTGGTTCAAATAAATCCGCCCTCTCAATTTTAAATGATATTTATGTAATCAAAATAATCATCTGAAGCATGATATTCTCTTTGGCAACTCTTTTATTTTATCCAGAATTTACCTATGCCACATAGAAATTATATACAGGACAGTTGTCATGTTCCAATTCAACTAAAAACTCCACATCTCTAATCTAACAAGAAAACCTAGAAATTTTTTAATAAATAATGAATCCAACATCCCTTTATATATTTGGCAAGGAAACTACTGTGTTGTTATAAAATGTTTGAATCCTAACAGTTTATTATCCGAACACTCAACGATCAAGGTGTGGTCTTGAAGAAGAAAACAAATTCATTAGCACAATATAATACAAGTAATAATAATTATTATTTTATTAGTACCACAATTTGTGGTCAATAAGGCCTAAATTCTAAAAGGTGTCAAGAGAACAAAACCGTGAGGCTCACCAGAATGACCAGTCATATTCTAGCTATGAAGATGTTTGAATGCTGACAATTTGTCATTGTGCATTTGTTTTAATAAGTGTGTGTAAAATTGTGAAACAAGGCATTTTAATGATATTAATGCTGCTGTTCAAACATTTACTCAGTCTTGTTAATTAAGGTCGTTTTTGTGTTTTATTATTTGAAATGTTTCGGTAAAAGCATCAACTTCTCTTTTCATGAAGAATTTAAAATTTAAGTTTAATGACTTCCTTAGTTCATTGAATGTAATAGCTTAATAACAAATAATTTCAATTAATTATATTTCTTATCTAAAGTCTTGGTTGAGATAAAAGTATAATTAATTTAAGTAATTAATAGATCAATTTTGTCCGCTAAACATATATGGACTAATATAACAAATAAGATTTAAACAGTGCAGTCACACATATGATTTGGATTTGGATTTGGATTGGTCTTCTTGACACCTTCACACTAATAAATACATTCAGCCTTAACACATAAAAGGGATACAAAACTATATAAAATAAAACAAACATGTTTACTCCAAGAATTGGAACAGGGGATCGTGCTTAAGTGTTTGTGTGATTAAATACATATTGCAGAACTATTTTGTAAACGGTACAACCAGAATACACGAACAATATATTTTTGACACAAACTTTTATTTAAAACAATTATTTTCTTCTGAAACCAATAATAGGTTAGGTGAAATTTTTAATATTTTCAATATATCTTCGTGTAGCATTCATTTACTCGTATTTGCGTTTTTTCATTTATCAATCTGTCTTGGCACTCCCGTTAAAACAGCTATTTTAATTTAACGGAAAATAACCTTAATTGTTAATTGATGTACCCTAAGCCCTGAAGAAGGCATAATAAATGCGGAAAATTTTGATGACGTTTGGACCATATCTCTGATTCCAAAAATCCCTGTTTCCTTCTTCATTTCTGTGTTTAAATAGTTTCATTATAATAAACTTTTTGCGGTTATAAACATATGTTATACTCATGAACACCCTGGGTCAAAGTATGGACTTGAAGAAAAAGCAAATTCAGTTGTTACTGCCAAGCTTTTGACTTACTTTAAAGTCTTAAACAGAGCAAAACAGCCTTAAATATATCTATAGACTGATTTATTTAAGTTTTACAGGTGATCTCAAATTTCCTTGAAGACCGATTTAGTCCTAACAGTGCAGAGGACTATAACGTTGTTTTGCCCTGATGATGACCTTAAAATAGGTCGAAAGCTTGGCAGTAGCAATTACATTTGCTTTCTTCTTCAAGACCATACCTTGATCCAGAGTGTTTGTAAGCAAAAAAGTATTCGATACTTCTAATACTGAAAATAATTTGTCAGACAGGCAGAACAAGCTGGAATAGCAAACCTGAAAGATCAGAGACAGTAAATCTATTATCACATTTAAGAGCCAAAAAGATACAACAAAATTTAACTCAGAGCATAATATAATACTTATTATTATTTGATTAGTACTACAATTTGTGGTAATAATTGATACTTTATTTATTCTAAAGAGATGCATAGTTGATTATCATTTCTAGTGTTATTAGAGTGTCATGTTTGAGTTAATTTCCATACATTTTTCTAGGAGTAGAAAACATGTTTAGCAGGCTTTCTAAGATGTTTTGCAATTCAGACTTGCAACAGTTTACTCACTGTGACATCTTTTTTACAGCTTATTGTGTCATAAAAGCCAAAATGTGCACAGACTATGAATTTTGATAGAAGTCTTTTGTAAAAATTATATACAAAATGGCACTCAGTACTGAACCCTGTACTGAAATTTGCATATAGCAGTACTTCTAAACATCCATTTGTCTTTCTTTTATTCTTCTTTCTTCCTTTTTCTGTTGCCAGGCATGTCATTCCTTCTTGACTCACCACCTTTGCTTTGTCATCCTGCAATGAATGTCGTCTGTGGAAGAATCATCTTGCGTTGGACTAACCAGGGGAAGATAACATTGACTGAATATGATTTTGGGCCAAATTTTGTTTGTTATACTACACTCCAAAATATTGGACAAGTATTCACCACTTTTTGTGAATAAGCCCTGGTTTCACCAAAAATTTGTTTTGGGAGTTGAAATTTTCCATTTTTTAATATTTTTTATTTCACCGTTTCACTTGCTCAAATCAATTGTATGAATATATCATATTACAGTAATTTTTATGCAGATTTCAATACAAATATAGCAAAAGCTATCAAAGTTTATCAACAACCAAAAAATTTCTAAAAATGTATATATATTTTTTTTTTTTCAAGTAAACTAGATAATTTTTTTTGTGAAACTAATATGAAATTTCATTTTATCACCTCTAGAGACCACTAAATACAAATTTTTGGTTGAATTTAAATTTATCAATTTTTTGACCCCTAAAATTTTACGACTGACATTCCTAGTGCAAGCTCTAACTTCATTTTTCACATTTATTTATTTATTTAGAAAAATTTTTCAAGTGCACTTTACAATTGTACGAAATATTAAAATCAGACTATTATTTCCATTAAAAAAAACCGAGTTTATTTCTGACAAATAATTTAATAATTTTTGATATATTTAATTGTATGTACATCGTTAAAAAGCTATGTTCCTTTTTTTCAAATAGTCTGTTTGGATTGGGATCAACTTTTTTTTTGTGATTCTATGCTCCAATATATTGGACACGTACCACCACTTCTTTTGATTAAGCCCTGGTTTTGCCAAAAAATTTATTGACAGTTGAAATTTTCCGTTTTTTAATATTTTTTATTTCACCATTTTACTCACTCACATCAACTGTACAAATATATAATTTTACAGCATTTTTTATATAGATTACAGTAAAAATTAAAATAGGACTATTATTTCTTTTAAAAAAAAGAATTAATTTCTGAAAAAATATAATAATATTTTATATATTTAATGGTAAATGTATCGTTAAAAAGCTACGTTCCTCTTCTTTCAAATGATCTGTTTAAATTTGGACCAACTTTTTTTTTGTGATTCTACGTTCCAAAATATTGTACACATATCCACCACTTCTTGTGAATAGAACCTGGTTCCATAAAAAAAAATTTTGAGTTTAAATTTTCTGTTTTTTAATCTTTTTTATGTCACTGTTTGAATTGCTCAAATCAATTGTAAGAATATATAATTTTACAGAATTTTTTATGTAAATTGCAAAAAAATATATTAAAAGGTTTATCAATAATCAAAAAAATTCAAAAAACCAAATTTATTTAAAGTAAAGTAAGTCATAAATTTTTTTCCGTGAAACTAATATGCAGTTTCATTTTAGAACCTCTAGAGATCCCTAATCCCTAAATATCCATTAGATCCCTAAATATAATTTTTTGTTTTGAACTTAAATTTATCAATATTTTGTCCCCTAAATTTTTTCCGATTTTTGAGATGTCGTTATCCGAATATCTTGAAATGGCTATAATTTAAAAACGGCTAAAAGGATTTTGTTGTCAAACAGACCATTTGAAAGAAGAGGAACGTAACTTTTTAAAGACGTATGAACCATTAAAATATGTAAAATATTTCTATAAGACAATATACAAAATAGCAAAATTATTTGCCAGAAATTAACCTAAATTTTTTTAATGGAATTAATAGGCCGAATTTAATGGTTATACAGTTATATATTGCACTTGACAATTTCTTTAAAACGAATTATCAACCATGAAAATCGACCAATTTTGAAAAAATGATGTAAGAGCTGGTAACTAGGCGAAATTTTCAGTCAAAAAATTAATTTACACAGATTTCCACAAAAATCAGTAACGAAGGGTTTTATAACCACCCCACTTCGGCAGGACATTTCTCATACCAAAAGCGATCCATGAAAAAGCACCAAGGGAAGTGCTCCGTTTTTATAAGGAATAGCGCACTTTCCTAAATGTGGTTATAAGCTAAGGGATTCCACAATAGACCTGTTTAAGTCGCAGTGGAAAAAAGAATTGTCTTCTGCATGAACACCCCAAATGACTTTAATAAACGACACTACTTCTGTACGTCTTCTTTTGTGTATGCAATACAAAACATGATTAAAAGGATTTGGTACGAATGGGTTCGGAACTGCACGCGTTGGTGCTGAATTGTCATAGCTGTTGATAGCACCTCTCTCTGGAGCCTAAATACTGTGGTCTGCTGGCAGTTTACTGTAAATAGCAGATCGATTCACATCGGCGTCGTGACAGTGTCGTGACGGCCCTTATTCCGGCCACTGTGATAATACAGGGCTGTCTATTCACCGTACACTATTGCAGTGGGCTTGAGTGGACAAAATGGCAATGTTTTCAGACGATGAATTTTTGATTACCGCACTGATTTTGGACGAAGAAGCGAAAAACTGAAGTGGGCCCATCAAGCATGGAAAAAGAGCGGGAATTTGCTACACTTTACAACGTGGACTATGGAGCAAAATTTTGCTAGCTGCATAACTTAAGGCTTAAACTTCTTTAAACACTAAGAAATACAACATACGAGCGTATACTTACT